CCATAAGAATTTCTTTGGATTCGGCGACCAATCTCTTATTTACATCCTGGATAGAGTAACATTGACTGACGGATGCCACCTTTCCAAAAAGTCTTTTACTAATCAGCTACATTATCTCTTACTATAAAACTCTCACTGATGGCATAGCGATCAGCTACCATAAAAATATTAACTGGAGTTGTGTCAGTGATGGCACCTATTGGTCTACAATATTTTCTTTTTTGGCGACCACGTACGCATAACAGATTAAGTATGCTTATCAAAGTGTTTGAACGCCGGCGAAAGAACATCCAAAAGGGGCGTGGTACGAGCAAGATCAGGCCACGCCCTTTTTGATTTGGTCACTGGAGCAAAAATTCTGCTACAAGCGCTTCTTGGCGTATAATTTAAATAGTATAAAACAGCAATGAATGTTATTAGAACGATTTTTTAAACAAATACCTTTTCTGAAATCAGGATTCGTTTTTGCCCTCCCCCTCTTCTTTCCACTGCTTCCTACATTTTAAGGATATCTATTATTGGTTTTGTAGATCTGACTATGCATCCCAAGTAAACCAAACTTTCTTTTTCGTAAGTTCTTGATTTCGCATCATTTCCTGTTATTTGAATATTTATATGTTTACTACAGTTCAATAAATTTGCCATGGTCTTCTGACTTTTAAGTAATATTTATTTAAATCTACTCGCGTAGTTAAATCTACTCGTGTAAACAAATGCGGCGACCTAAAAGTTGTTCGATGCCTTAATATTCTCGCAATTAAAACTCTCTCATTACATTGTTCACAAAAGAACGCTCAAGTTTGCTGATCGATACTGTAAATCGATTGGTTTCCTGGAGTCATATAAAGTAGGAGCTTGTAGAAGAAAATACAATGTTCCGGTAAGACAAGAGATAGAGAAGATGAAGAGGAAAAATCGGTCCAACACAGCCGCAACATACTTCCAGTCTCTATCAAGCTGCAAAGATTTACCGTAACTTCTGCAGAATGAAATTGTTGATAGTCCTTACCTTATTTACGCGTTCATTTTTCTTCAATAGTTCGGCGATGAAAACAATGTTTTCAAATGCTTTCACAACCCAAAACATTTTCAAGTAATTTGTTAAAAAAGAATTTGCAA